AGTGCACATAAGTACTAGTTTCCATGCACATGTACTGAAAAATTAATATATTTATTGCAAAAAAAGACCCGAATCTCCGACGCTTGTCTGACTCGGGAATAGGTGGATAAGTTATCGGCCCAACGATACGAATGAGGTCGCGACAGGGAAGGAAAGATCGCGCGAGGCCCATGGCCTGGATTCTAGGAAGCTGCTCCCGTATTCGCCTGACAGCGATCAAGGAAATCCCGCAAAAAATTATCAGAGTGATCGACCTACGAATTAGATTCCAGATGTTTAATACATCGGGCAAATTTCTGGTCCCCTTTGCAGGATCGAATCCGCAACATGCCCGCTCAAGCTGTAAGGCGCCTCCTTTACGCCCGTCTCTACAAAGCAATACTGCAAAATACTGCAAAAATGTTTCAATTTCAGTTGGGGTCCGTGCCTTCCACCTCCCTTTGCATCAGATGCCTCTCATACATTTCAGGACACGACTCTGTAATGTACAGACAACTTTCCGAAGAAACCATAGAAACTTTTTAAACAATTTATTGAGGTCTGATTCCAAAAAATTAAATTAATATTCATTCATTTTTCGGTTTGGGTTGTTAATATAAGCAATATTGAAAATCACAATACGCGAGGAATACTTTTTGAGTGGTCACAAATTTTAAAAAACGCTACCACAAACAAGTAGGTGTAGTTTTGTGCATTACGCAATGAAATATGGAAAAATTAAACTTAACCATCACTTTTTGAAAGTCATCTGTCAGAAATTTTTACACTTATGGAATTCATGTTCCAACTTTTTTTCGTTATAGTAAATTCTATATTGCTTCCATCGAATAAAAACACGCCCACTTCTTTCTGTAGTGCAGAAGCAGGTGGCTTCAGAAGTGGCATCGAATAAGAGGGGGGAAAGTATCCCGGCAAAAAGGAAAAAGAGAAAAGAAAATTCGTCGCCTCCAAGCCCATAAACGGGGAGCAGGCAAGCAGGCGAGGGAGACGAGCCCCAGATGGAATCATCAACTTGCACGCACCTAAAAATACCGTGGAATTCTCGGACTCGTAATTTCCCCTGGAAAGGGACGGCGCCGCGACGCCCGGGCGGCGTCTGGAGCAATAGGCGGCGCGGCGCGGCGCCGGCAGGCGTCGTTGGGCCGCCCGCCCTCGCGCCCCAGCCCAGCCCATCCCATCCCCCGCCGGTATATTTAGCGGCGGCGGGCAGCAGGAGGGGCAAGAAACCCTGGGGCGGCGGCGAGGGTGCCGGGGCGGGAGCCTGGCGGGGAGGCGGAGCGTGAGGGCTAGGCTAGAGAAGGCAGGGCGGAGACACGGTAGTGCGCGGAAGGAAGGTGATGACCAGCTGCGGAGATCGCGGTGAGGGGAGAAGCGGTGGGGGAGAGGAGTGTGTCAGAACACGAGGGCGCGGGGGGTTTCGAGTCGCGGTCAGGGAAGAAGGTAGAACCAAGGCCTGTGGCAGGATACACGGTGGCCTCACGTAGGGCCCGTAGGTGGGTCTCATGGCGGGACTGTAGGGACCGGCAAGGGACATGCAGTTAAGCGAGGAAGCAGGTTGATAGATGGCAGTGAAGAGGGCAGCGGTGGGAATGGTATCAGGGGATGTGGGGTGGTGTGGGAGCAGGCCTGTGGGAGAGATGTGAGAGGAAGGAAAGGACATTAGGAGCGAGGGGGAAAGAGAGCGGGAAAGAGAGCGCGGGCGAGAGTGCGTAGGGGAAAGATGGAGGGGTGATCGAGGAAGTAACCGGGAGAGCGACCGGGAGCGAAAGCACGGGGTCCGTGGCAGGGAAGAGGGCGCAGGCTAGGGCGTGGGCTAAGGCAGGCAGGGTGAAGGGGTGTGCGCGCCCCCTTGTGCGTTATCGCCGCCCGCGTCTCGATTTCCAGCGGCGCCCGCCCCGCCGTGTCGGCGCCGCCGCAGCCGGAAGGCGCAGGAAGCAGGGATACGGAAGCCGCGCGGGGCGACACGCGATAGGCGCGACTACGATATTACGGCAAGGAGAGGGGGCTAGAGCGAATGCGATGAGGAGACAGGAACGTCTTAGGAGTCTCAGGACGAACTGGCGAAGGTCTGCTGAAGACATCACAACGTGAAAAGAATAAATATCGGGGAACTGCAGAAACAGGCAGTATTTGAAGAGAATCGTATACATCGCAATATCAAGAAAGGAGGAAAGTATCGAGGTGGATGAAGTGTAAAGTACAAGACGAGGAACAAATAAGTATTGGGAAGTGGGAGTACGAGAATCGATGAACTAGAAAGTAAGACGCGTAAGTACATTAATAAGCATTTAAGCCACTTTTAATGTTAAACTATAGCAATACAAAGCGATTTTTATAAGAAAGGACCATGTTGACAGCTAGTGCTATAAACATAACTGAAGGTTCTGTGGTCTTTGTCTTCCATTTGACGTTCCTTCCTTCATTCGTTCATTTGCAGTAGGCTAACTTGTAAATTACTTCGAATTAACTGATTACAACAGTACAAAATGTACAATGACTATTTTCAACATAATTCATTGACTATACTTCAATGTTTTCCACTAAAGCACCAGTTTTCCGATTTCCGCAGAAAAAAGGACATTCGATTCAGCAGCACTGCTTCCTCGCCTGTAAGTCAGAGGCAAATCTTCGGTCTCTTAAAGCATCTTTAAGTGGATCAAATAGATTGTAATTACTTACACGTGAAAAGAACGGTACTCTATCCCGGATGTTTTTACTCCTTGAAATACATATTTTGAACAACTTGAGCGGCGTTATGAGGATGCGTGTTGTCTTGCAACAAAAGAGTGTATTTCGACAATCCATCTCGGCGTTCTCGTATACAGAACCCAATGTTCATATAGTTGGGCACTTCATCAATAGTCACTCATCGACTATTCAGAATCAGATCACGGACATGGTCACTATCGGGACAAGGAACTAGATTAGCAGAGGAGAACCCCGCGCTTGGATCAAAACGTTCTTAGGGGCCACGAAAAAAACATCATGATGGTTCTCCTTGGTATAAATTCGCCAATCATCAGCTTACCCCATTCCAGCCCTTAAGCATTCAGGAATTGCCATCAGGGCATGCTGAATTCCCCACTCTCCTCCTTGCACTCTCCTCCCGTATACAAGACCGATCCCCTGTCACTTGAGTTGTCTTCTGGAGTCAGAGCATACTGATTTCGAAACACGACATTTTGCTTATTTTTTATTTACTTAATAATTTATATATATTTATTGCTGAAGAGCTGCAAAAACTTAACACTAAGGGTGCTTTGAGCGGCACAAGGTCTTGCTTCGCCGCTGCCTTCTAAAGAACGTCCTGTTGGCCGACCTACAAAGTGGATGACATAGGCTACTGATTGTCCAAATCACATTTCAAACCAGACCAGCACTCGGTTACGACGCATTAGTAGCTGACCAGATAACGGCCATAAAGCCTTCTGATGTCTTATGCCAGAGCGCCAGACCAGCACTGGGCGAGAAAGTTGGTGGTCAGTGGATAGCTACGTGACATACAAAATGGATCCAGAGACCATGGAAAAATTTCCGTTTGTATTAGACTATGCGTAAGCGTAGGGTTTATCGTACATACGCGTATGGTTTAATTTTCATAATTAACTATGTGATGGCATAGGAAATTATTGACACATCCAAGAATCGCGAAGCGATCGCACATGACTAAAATAGCCATCATACGTCCTTTCATACTGTTATACGTGTAGTGTACACTTTCAGAACATCATTAGATTTACAGTAATATTGAATATTTACATACATTATTGAATATTCGTATACATTATGAGTACTTAATCTATTAAAATGTCGATATAAATAAAACATTAAAATCAAAATATCCCCAAATGAAGCAAAACCGATGATACTTTATTATGATGCAAATATTTATTACACATTAAAATAAGTTCTATTCTTCTCTGTGCCACATTCGCAGTAACACAAGAATAAACATATGTCAACCTAAATGAACCTCCTCCCAAAGCGCATCCACTCTCCTAAATGTGTTCAGTGGCAACGAATAGTTACACAATGGCAAAAGGCGCAATGCATCGCGCACAATCGCGTTAAACAGCGCTTCCGCGCGCATAGGAAGCGGCGCTGCTCCGGGAGGTGACAGCCCGCCGGCGCGGCGCGGCGCACAGAGGCTGACTGCCAGGGCGGACACGCCACTGCGCCCGCTGCGGCGGCGAAGCGCAATGACAGGCGGGCGCGAGGGGCGTCGCGGAGAGTCAATCGAAGCACAGAGCGCGCGCCCGCGGCGCTTTGTCGCGGCGCGACGGCGGCGGCCAGCGCCCGCAACGCCACCTATACTAGGGTTTATTTAACAGGGCGGTGTAAATCAGCTGTTCACGGTTTCATCCAGTCGAGAGCTTGAGCGTCTCCATAGTGACGTCACTGTAGCGACATATAAGCTCCCGATTCGATGAAACCGCAACAGCTTTTCTTCGTCAAGTGCACGACTACACAAATCGTACATACACGCAGAGCTCGAACTATCTTAAACAGTGGCCACTTATTTCCAGGGACAAATTTCCCTAACTATTCCCGTTTTTCAAGTGTTTTAACAAAAAATCTTTTCCTGTTAAGAGTTTTAATTTCACACTATGAAAAGAAAATAGTAAAGCCATTCTGATACTAATTTGTTCGCTTTCAGATTTCACCAAGAGATACAAATACAAATTAACATTTTCTCAACAAATAAAAAAATGGAGAAAAAACTTTTGTTCTTAAGGAATAATGTCCAATTTTATAAGCAAGAAATAGTGTTCCTGACTTCTAACGATTTCCAACGATTATACAAATTTCCTGAGTTTTTCCCCGGCTTCGATGTTTCCCAGAAATGGCCACTTGGGTATATTCGTCTGTGAGTTGAGGGTCATATGCCGGTGATCCGAGACGAATTTATGTGGACAAAGGGGGCTTTTGCGGGGGGGTCACCCTTTTCCTCTGTCGCACATTCCCACACTGCTCCATCATCATTCAAATCCTATCATCACCCACCAATAAATTTTTTTCATCGCACGTAAGCTCGGAAGATCTAAAGAGCCAAGGTTGTTGAAATCATGAATAGAAGATCCTCTCACACAGTGGACCCATTTTCGACAGAAAAGCCATCGACCACGAGACTAAAATGCCATCTTTGTATGAACATTGATTGTTGCCGATTGTCCGGGCGCCCCTGGGTCGGGTCATCGGTTAACCAACTAATTTGGTTCAGTCTTTCGTGGCCCTCTGCAGCGCCGAAGATTGCCAGAATGGTCGGTGGGCAAGGTTTTGGATAGACGATCTGCGAAAAATATTTATATAGCTAGTGATTTTTGCTTTAAAAAACACCAATACTTATTACGTTTGGTAATAAGTGCTTTTTATATTATTTCGGATAATCTAGTTCTTTTAACAAGCTCTGTCCACTCCAATTGAGCTCTCTTGTGCAATGCAACGTTTAGGTACGATTATTAGACGAGAGATTAATACGAGAGGTGGTAATTCCATGCGTCTTCAAGAATCCGCTGTTCTCTCGTGCCTCAGACTCACCGACGCCTACTTCCTGAAGTATCGTCATGAACAGTTGCAGATACTCACCTGAAACAAGGGAAAACAAAATTATTAAGATCATGGAATGAAGATACGGCTTAAATAATTTCATTGTCTTTAACAGAATGAAAAGACGTCATTTTTAGCATCAACGGCATAACGATCGTTTATACTCAGAACAATAAGTTAAACCTGGTACATCAAATCGATTTCATCACTTTTCATGGCATATACCAAGTGACATTGCTTTCAATTAAAGAAGTCAGATAATTATGCTTGATTTTCTCACTAACCATTGCATTTCAAATACACATGCGAGTTACTTAACACACCATAAATTTACAGCAAGTAATAGTTAATTTAAAACTTCTTAAAACCAAGGAGCTACCGTAAAAAATAAATATGTGCGCTTTATAAACAAAGTCATTGCCAGGAAAGTACTCTAAGCTTACACACAATATATGTTGTGATGCTCATTTCTACGAAATGCCTGAATCTTATTACTTACTCAACGCACATCAAATCAACGTAAACGTCACTACTTTAAGGTTTTAGAGTTCGGCAAACATTTATCCAATATAAATGGCTACTATATATTTACTCAATTATTACCCATATCCTGATGTTCCTGAGCAACAAACGTGCAGGTTAACAAACAGGTTCTTCGGCGAACGGAGGCGCAGCGCTTGTTGTTCCCTCACGGCGCGATAGCCATGTCCTGGTTGCCAAGAATACATTAAGCTTCGGTTAGCGCCAACCGAGGACAAAACAAATGTAAGGCATAGATAGTTCCTTTCTAGACGACCTTTTTTATCTTTTCTGGTCTCCCAATGTGGAGAATGCGCGGATTGTTCTTTTGGTACTGTATACGATCTAACAATATTGTTTACTTATGTTTATTTACGTATATGAGAATTGTGTTGCACTAGACAAATGTAACTCCATATAATTTCTCGTAAATTTTTAAATTCTACAATCAACACGACATGACTAAGCATATAGAAGAACTAGTACTAGAACTAGTAGAAGAACACTAAGTATTATTTCTTTAACCACACTCCGTCCACCATACTCTTATTTACGTGTGTATAAATCCCAGGTGGAAACCTGAACTAAATAACATAACTACTGAATTAAAAAGTTGATATCCAAAACATCCTTTTGGTTCTTAGTTTGGTTTCCGAAAATGTTCTGTTAATAAAACATAAGGTAGTGCCCATGTACGAAAGCATTTTTAAGACGCTTCCACAGCTACTTTATAAATAATCTCAGGTTTGTAACATGATAATTATTATTCCGGACTTCAAATCGTGCCACTCCTAGAAACGGAGTTGAGGCAGAGGTGCATTGGACAACTGTGTTGATCAACATGGTCGTCACTCTCCACGAGTCTGCCACGCACACGTGTGTAAAAACGTAATGCACGCGTGTGCACGGTAGCGTGACACGTATGCAGCGCATACACGGTCGTTATGTTTTTTGTTGGCGTGTGTTTAGTTCCCTCTTTCATCGAAGCAAATGCTCCCAACGATCTACGACGAACTGCACGTCGGGCATGAGAAAGATGTCACACATTGATAACATTTTCCAACAGAGGACAAATGCTTCTCAGGCATCTAAATGCGTATGTTTAATGGAACGAAAAGTAACTAAGATTAGTCAACTGTTAAGCACATTTAATGCTATGTGCGGAATGAATTCTTCTGAAATCGTAGTCTTCATTCCATATTTCACTGCAAGAGCGATATTCCTCAGAGATCACAACAAACGTCACAGGTCACAGAAGTGAACGATACGTATTCCAAAAGATAACAATTTACAATCTAAACATCGAAGAGGCGAAAGGAAACAAAGAAATTAAAATTAATGTAAAACATTAAAATTAGAGATCATATCATTTATGAGGATATTATTATATAATCAATTTTCCCCCAAAGGCAGAAATAGAAGCCGAAAAAAGCGGACATCCTAGCAATACTTTGGCGGATTAATATTTTCAGGATTTGCAGAAAGTCACTCTTTGATCTGTTAAAAATATATTGTAATCACTTGTCTGTTCCGCAACGAACAGCAAATAATGTATCCTCAATCTCCTTGCAGTTATTAGCCTGTTCACTGACAGAACCAGCCAAAGTCCCCGGTGAAGCCAACGCAGCAGTTGCAAGACAACTCCACGCTGAAAAAGCGCAGCTCTAGGCGAGCTGCTGACGCTCTCCATTGCTATTAGCGCCGCGAGTAATTGCATCGCCGCAAACGCCGCCTGCTCTGCGACAGCAACACAAAGGAATCGGATTCCGGCCGCGGTTTATGAAGAACTTGCGAGGGCTCTCGCTGAAGGGCTTCCTTTGAAGGGGCCGCCCTGCAAATAAGGACACGCCGAGTCGGCGCAACGCCACAGTGCGGATCTGCTACCGTCTTAATGGCCAACGTGTCGTCCGTTTTGACTTACGCTTTTCCAACAGCGAAACTATTCTTATTTATCGCAATCTTCTTAGGCCAACATTTAATTTGGGCGGTTAACATTGTTCGCAAAATTTTTAAAATTTTGGGGAAACAAAACTGCGCGTTCTAATGTGTTTCATTATTGAAAATATAAATTTTACACAACCTTGATGAGTCAAAAAATACCTCCGACTAAAAATGTTGTTCAATCCCACTTAAGTGCTAAATATCATTCCCCTCAGAAGTATAAACATTTCGTTTTTTAATTCAATAAAACAATTTTTGGTTAAAAATCTCGTTTAATAAAGAAATTCAAAAGATTATCGGTGTACATGTTCGTTCGTACCCTTTACAAACGTTTCCATAAGGCATTAAGATTGATCAACTCCCTGTTCTTTAACTTTTGACCATTTTGGTGATATTCAGATTTACATTACACTCTAGTAAATCTGGTAACACGTTGACGTTTCAGAAAACTGCCAACACTACGAAATAATCACGAAATTCAATTACCATCACGGGGATAGCTCGAAATCACTCGAAAAAGTTTGGTCTTCCTATATGAGAAGATTGCACAAGTGGTTATTTCCTAAGCCCTACGTTTGCACCAAGCTTCAAATGCAAGCTGGGAGAGGGATATTTTTGTTTGCCCCCCGTCCTCTAAAATGGAACTCGCGATCTCTACCATCTATTCAGTAAGAATTAAGTATTTCCCCAAAGTTAAGCGACAGAAAAGTTTTTATCATCACATCTTGTCGAAGAGGCGAGGCCAAAACATGTTGTAGCCTTGCCTCCATGAACTCCTTCATTTCTGACTCTTCCGACACATTTTTTGGCCTCTACTGCGGAAACGCTTTCCACTGTGCGCGCGCCGTGACGAAGACCTTTAGCCGGAGTGAAAAACGCGCGCGGCAAACACGAAATTCGCATGTTTGGGCGCCGTAAGCACACAATCGACCAGTCACAGGCGGCCTCTCGCGTGACCGAAGCCGCAATGCCCCATGACATACGACGTGGACACACACACGTCAGAGCTGTTGGCCTGCGAAGGCAGCTAGCGCTGGATAATGCGCACCTTCACTCCGAAGCTCGTGTACTGGAGGACCGAAAATGTTGAAGCAGAGTGGCGACTTCCTCCAAAGGACTCGCTTTCATTTTTTGCCAAGTTAAGCGCCTGTTTCTTCCCTTCGAGGTCTTTTTTGAGATGATCACACTGTGGTGAAAGAATTATATTTACCGTTATGGGAGTTAAATGTTGTAATTAATAGTTCATTAATGGAGACAAGAATGAGTGGTGTAAAGGTAACAAATATTTTGAAGGTACTATTTCACCAGCTTTCCGAACAAATATATGTGAGTACTTTACTTATCTCAGGTTATTCGTATGATTGTGGACGCTTGGATACCAACATATAAACCTGGATAACGTATGTAAAGTAGCTACCACAATATTGCTAGTTGGGTAGTTTTGTGAATTACTTGTGAAGAACATGGATGATAATGGTTCAAATAAATCTGCAAAGCACATTAAGGTACATTTGCAATTTTTTATGGAAATCTATATGAAAATGGTGACCATTATGCTTCATAATGCTAATATTCTGGGAAACAATAATAACTACAATTCACTACAACATTAAGGACAGTCAAGTCGCCAAGAAAAGAGAATTCCCAAAGTAATTTTTAGAGCAGATAATGATAATCTCTTGAGGCAGAAAAATCTAAACTGGAGCGGAGAGAATGGGAAGATTACGTCATACATCTTCATTAGTGATCCTCATTCTTTCATTTGTAGAATGTGTAAAATTTGGTTGCCAAGGGAATCTGTTCTCTTTTATCTCAGAATTCTCAAAGGGTGAATAACATCCCGAGCAAATAAAAAAGAGGTTTGCGGGGTCCCAGACCCAACGAATGGCTTAGCCTCTCACTTTTGAACTTTAATCCCTCAATCCCTCACATTTATATTAACAGAATTGATTTATTACAGCTAGTAAAGCGTGCCGTCTAACACAAAGAGTCGTTATTATAATTTCAATCAACAAATATATTGCAAAATTGTTCATGAACTTCCTCTCATTTTGCGATGAAATTAAACAACCACGTCAGCCCTTTCGGGGTTGATTTTTCCCCCAAGGAAACGATGCACCCATAGGGAAGGGAGGGAGAAGTTCAACAGCTGACCTGGGGCAACAGGGGGACGGTGCCCTGACGCCAGCCCCGCCAGATGAGGGGGCCCCTGAGACCCCAGCTCCGTGCCCTCCACACAGGGAGTGGCGGTGCTGTTAAAAAATTAACTGTTGATTCCTACGGTGCAAGTTTGGAAGGCGCTGTTTTACTTAACTGCCGTAAAGTTAACTTTGAAACACAAGCTGCATTTTATAACGTTTGTTTAATGAATGTTTTATGACAGGTGAAGGAAACGAGCATTAAAAATGGAAGACCACACAATGGAGGAGTCGGGGCGGCGCAGCAGGCAAGCAGCTCAAAGGGAGTGACAAGGGGCTTTCATATCTTAAGGAAAGTTTGATTTCAGAGAAACAATTAACGTGTTTAACATTGTCAGTATTAGATATCGCTCTACGAATTAGAGGGGAAACTTTGCCCAG